TCCATGAGTGAGCAAACAGCTTACGAATATTTTACGTAGTTGGGATAATTTATTGAAATTGAAAGATCTCAGTGTACCCTGATCCTGGCGTTTTTGACTGTAGTGGAAATTTTGCTCATTACAGGCCAAATGCAATCTGCAGTGAACACTCTTTGTCGAGAAGTATTCCTAAAAAGCCTGCAGTTCAGTTCCAGATAATGGCTTGATAGATATTGATTGATTTTCCTTGATTAATCCACTATCAATGAGTGGTCCTGGCTCATCATTAGAGGCTCGGAAAACCGGCAAAGATCCTAATATGAATCTATTCATAAGCATGTTAAGATTCTGCTGGATATTATTGAAAAACATCGAACGTGGAGTTGAAGAATGCCTTCAGAGCGTATTTAAGTGCATTCGCGAAAAACTTGAAACCAATGAAATCAATTGCATAAATTCCGACGACCCTTTTGTGACTGCCAAACACATTTCTGTTTTTGTTTCATCGCTTCAATTCATTCTTCTTTCAATAGACACGATTATATTCAAAGATTTATTATAAATTAACACGTTCTGAGCAAATAAATATGGACCGTATACGACAGGGAAAGGAATAATATGTTGGTGAATCAGGGTGCTATTCACCACAATATTATTTATGTTACATGACAGTTGTCTTGACGAACAATAGCTGCAATACTGTACATTGGAAAGTGTAGTGGACATAAAATACCTATTGCTTTCAATATACAATCGAGATATTATTAATATTATTATTATTATTAATATTATTAATATTATTATTATTAATATTATTATTATTATTAGTATTAATAATAGTAATAATAATAATAATATTATTATTGTTATAATTGTTCTTAATTAAATTTCAGGAATACTGATTCGTTGGTAAAAACAGTAATTGAGCGCTTCTAGACCTCAAAAAGCATCCGCAAGTGACATTTTCCAAAAGATGGTGCTGAAATTATCGATGCTGAACAGATTCATCAAGCAGGCGTACACGTTGTACTGACTCGATGATTGCATCCATTACATGTGATTGATTTTATTTTTAGGTATGAATCAGGCAGTGGCCTGGGCGCACCGATCGGAAGAAATTGCACGTTTACGGGAATCACAGAACCACCGCCGCGACACCTCACGAACTCACTGTGGGGTGGACCTGCTATGAACATATACATATGGCATCCGTCGTCTTCTGCAATTGCATTTCGTTACCGATCACACGCTGCGAACTGATAGTTCAGCCGAGTGAAATGCTTCGTCTACACTGCCTAATATATATATATATATTCAAATTTCAATCCGTGCCAATCGAAGGTTGATATTTTCATCCTCTCCAAATGAATTCATTCGTGACTCTCTTGAATGAGACGCAACTCGTTATCAGAAAATCAGCTCCGTATCCCCTAGAAGAACTTCACAGAGTTCTCTGTCTCTAAAGAGTAAGTTGCTCGTATCGAAACTCCATGCTATGACAAAACTGATACAAACATCACAATGCACTTACTCGTACAGAATGGTGCAAACGAGGCGGTCATACCTCCTCTATCAGGTCTATAACATTCGTTGTCTGAAACGCAAACACACATATCTTTAGAACCATTCACACCGCGACTGCCACAAGTCAGTGTCATTACAAGAGGCTGAGACCCATCCAGATAATCTAACCAGTTCGTATCATGAGATCCCTTATAATAATATTCGGTTGCTCCGCTTTTACAATGGCATTCACCTGGAACAGTTGACAACACTTCACTGTTTGATTTTTTTTTTGTTGACAAAGGTAAGTTATTTAACAATTCTCGAAAGAATTTTTCTTCTCATTCAGAACGTCATTATACCAAATGTTGGCGTGATATGCTTCAGATAATCGCATTTTTGAATTTCCACTCCAAATTACTCATTTAAGTGTTTTTGCAGAGTTCACCACCATCAGCGAAGTTCAGTGTTTTATTTGGCGGTAAATAGATGTGGAACAAGGACATCGTTAAACTGCTTCAATGAGATGTTCAGCGCCGCTTTGGAAACAACCAGAATTGTGTAGAAGCAAGTTGCTTAGGAACTTAAGTGAATATTGTAACAGTAATGGAAAATGGAAAAGCTACTGATGGCTGTGATGTTAATAGCGTCGTGCCTTAGTTCATAGTAGTGTAGTGCGGGAAGTTTCGGGGTTCTTCCGTGCCCGCACCGCACTGATTCATACGACCCATCTCTGATGAACAGCGCTTCGAAACAGGTTCTACCGCGCCACGGATCCATCCCAATTGGCACAAAACGCGAAATTCATTTTGCATTAGCGATAAAATTGATGAAACCGATCAAATGAGTCCATTTAAACTGACCAACACTCTGTGGTGACTGTCCAGGCGTTGAGTTATTGTAACCGAATTCAGTATCACTTTGCGTCACGTCCGCAGTATTGAAAATCAGTGCTGCAGTGTTTTTTGGCTGCTTACATGCTGCAAATCGAAATTAATTTGAAGAATCTGGAATGCCCGATTTTAAAGATTAAAAATATCGAACTTGTGTCGTCCTCTAAATTAATCCACTAAAAGCAGATCAGTTAACAAGTATGACAGAAGAAAAAANTTAGGTGGAGGCGCCGGTGCGCAACAGAAAACGAATCCGGCGAGGAGCGATACCTCTAGAAAGCCATACACTTCCACAACTTGGACGATTCGCATCTTTTCTGGAAGTTCACAATGATCGGTATCGTGGTTAAACGAAACAAACCAACAGATTAGTCTGACCCTTAAAATGCCCTCTAGCGAACTGAATCAGAAACTGAAATCTAACTGCAAGTCAGTTGTGGTTTACTGGAGTTATAAGGAAGTGGTAAGCGCCTAAACGTTCCGTATCCAAAATCGTCATCGGCATAAATGAAACATTTGTAATGACTTTGTAATGTGGCGTTGTTGAGAGATGAGCAAATTAAAACAAATCAAAACACGATTCTCGCTAAGCACTGACTTAACAGATGTCAGAATTTGGAATTTAACAAATTTTTACGGATTCTACCTGACCTGAATTTAACTCCAAAACGAGCACAGTCATATCAATTTATTTGCACTTTGATACAATTCATCATAATTTGAGTTATTTAAAATGATATGTCAAAAGACGTTCCAATAAAACGTAATTGATGAATTAATCGCCCTTAAGTTCTTTTACATTTGCAAACTGTTTGACGATACTGTACTTGCAACACCTTATGCTGCACTAATCCATTAGTGTTTTTTCCCCGTTTCTTTGTTCTTCATTTTCTTGCTCAATTAATTGTCTCTTTGACATCTCATAGAAAGAACTAATTTTGCTCAAGAACTAATTTTACTGACCGATTTTGAGTTAGATCGTTATCGTTTGATAATGAGGAATCTTCTATTAAATGTCTTATTTTAAAATACTCTCTAACACTACTGAATTTTTTATTGTAACGCTATAACCGATTGTGTAACACATAATTCCATCATAGCGAATCACTTTCTCGTTATCTAAGAATGATGCTTTCGATAGCTAATTTATTACTTTTGTTTCTTAACACTGATTCTATCTTTATTCGATGCCTTAGTTATTCATGTTATGGTATGCAGTACTACTGTATATTTATTCATTTATCCAGCAGTCACAGCTCTTTACGAGTTTATTTACAACTATTATTATATATTGTAACATGATGTTGTTATTGCCTACGTATCGTTCAAAGGCAAGTACTATATTCCAAATGTTTATTCAGTGATACCTTGTTATTTCATATTTCAGCATTATAGTATAATTTTTCATGTAATACGACACTGAAGAAAAGTCTAATTTGGCAGAAGCTATTGAAAAGTCGCACTGGAATGACGATTTAAGTTATGAGTTTACCAGCAATCAGTTAATGAAAACGTGGCAACAATGTTATTCGCAGATGACGAAAAATTAAGTGATTTTCAACAATATCGTTCAGTTTTCTTTAAAAAATATTCCTTTCGAGTTGACCGATATTTCAGGAACTATTGTATCAATTCAGGTTGATTAGTTTGTTCCTAAAATGAATGGTACGGCGACATTCTGTTGCGTTTTGAACGGTGTTTTTCAGCAGCTGTCGCATCAACAAGAAACGTCATAACATGGATATGCAAAAGTGTCCTTGCACTCTTGAGATGGCCTCGAAATTTTTTGCATTTTCACAATTAATTGTCATTCGTTTATGCCATTAAACCATAACTCTTCCCATTTTTTGTGGAATCGGTCTTAATTTGTGTAATTTAGTTGACCCATTTTGGAAGATGTTTTTGCATTATTAATGCCAGCATTGAAATCCATTTCCACATTGGCAAAATTTATCAGTGTTGTTAATACTACCGCAATACGTATGTGAGTTCACCAAATGCTGTTATCACCGGCAGTATTGTCATTATAATCGTTGCTGCCAGTCATAATAGAATCATCGATATTGTAACTATTGTCGCTATTGCTGTCGTGATGACCACTCGTACTGATTTCAGCATTA